GGGGGGGGAGCACCAAAGGACAAGGTTTTGGTGATTCATCAGATTTCCAGACTGTTTTCTCTGAGGCAGTTTGGAGCCGGAGCAACGTGTGAACACAAATCAATTGTTTCTGTACTGTCTGAAGGCAGCACAAATCAAACACTCCAAGACTCACACAGGTTAGAATAAAATAGAATAGTGTCAGTGCAGTCGCACAAAACAGACAATAGTTAAAAAGAGAATAAGAAATAAACAAATTTACAGATAAATCCTAACTTGTGAAAACAGTGAGATAGCGTATTGTTGTAACTTTGAGATATCTCTTCTCCATCTTTTAGATAAATTAGTTTTAGAACAAACAGTAAACTCACTGCATATAACCTGTTTTAAAAGACACAACTGAAAAGCAGCGACGTCCCTCTTCCCCTGCAAAGTGCTAAATTCTTCTGTTTGGAGCTAAAAATGTCTGTGACAAGTAAATAACACATGAGCCCATATACAGCAACAGCTCAACACCAAACATTCCCACTCAGCTGAACAAGATCCAACACGTTTGCACAGTCAGAGGAGTCACGAGCAGTCACCATGTTGCATGAAGTGACTGCATGTCTGTCCGTTCCCACTTCTGTCCCTGTGAAGTCTCCTCGTTCATTCATTTTCTCATTTGGGCTGATTTTACTCACGCTCGGGGTTCAAACAATCATTATTAGATTTTATGAAAGGGATAGCTGAGTATGAATCATGGCCGTTGCAATTTTTTAAAGCTTTTTTAACAAGCTCATAACACTTATCACCGTCAGCACTGTAATAAAATACCGTTATGTGCAGTTCACATTTCAGGAAATTCGTGAACACTTAAAAAAATCAGTATCCTGTGTCCACTCGCTCTCACTTTCACTTTGCTCCGTCACATTTTGTGTGGAGGGATAACAGTGTCAGAACAAAACTTTTAAACAGCTAGAAATGGTGGCATGTCTAAATGTGTCTACGTTATACAGAGTTTTTCCCTATTTGCCTTTGACGAACAACTGCAGGAAAACTTAAATGTTGAATCGTTGAGGCTTCTATCACACAGTTGTGCAGCGAATGTTTACATCAAATACATGAAACATAGACGTGAAAGCATCCAAACATAAAAATGAAACTCAAAATGTTTGTATCATTTGAAAAAAGGAACATGACTTATGTTGTTTGGAGACACGAGATGCATTAAATCTTTAAATTCAGCAAAGTACAATGGCTGAACGCAGAGTGTGTGCAAACTCAAGGAGAAGAATTTATGACGGAGCAGTTATCTCCCTGCTCTAAAAATACCCATGACCCTCCACAGGCCTGACCTGCAGAGGTTAACTGCAGAGGAAGCTGGATTTCTGCATGTGCTTTAAATGTCTGCATGTGTAGACTCTGTCCACACAGCACGATGGGACTGTGCAGAAAAAAGACAAGTATACTTGATGACACGTGGTGTTTGGGGGAGTTATCTCTGTACTCCACTCAACATAGAATACTTCCTGCTTCCTGTCCTGTTGTCATGGCAATGGTTATAACAGCCAGCGAGATGCGTACAAAAAAATATCAAGAGAAGCCGCTAAGGGAGCGTCCGCCTCTTCCTTTATGTGCTTCTCTTAAAATGATGATTTAGTTAGAATCAATAAGCTGTGAAATCCCGAGGAAGATATGAAAGAAGAAGTTGAGTGGGAGAAGAACTGTAGAGGTTTGGTAGAGTTTGGCAGGCGGAGAAAAAAACAAGATGGCATAATAAACGCAAAGTGGAAACTCGCCAACCTTTTCTGTATGTGACACATGGGAACTGTAGTCTCTTGCTACTGTTCCTGTTAAAAAAACACTTTCCATGCAGGGACCAACCATCATTATCCCATCTATGACTGGAATGTGACATTGACCTCAAATTTGATTTTGGGATCAGAATGTGTCCCAATGGAGGAAAGAGAAGTGTGTTCATTCAAGACTGTTTATTCTGTTGTTTATGTTTCTGTTTCTTTATGTTTCAGAACATCTGTAAAAACATACGTCTGTTTCCAACTTTTTAAAAACTAGCGTTACTTTTTTTAAAAATATGCTTATTGCACTATTGCCCTAGGGAGAGTTGACACCAGTTTATGGTCGCATGTTACATATTAAGCCAGAGACAGGAAGCAAATATATTAGATTAGCATAAAGACTGGGATCTGCTCATCTTGCCTCATCCAACTTTACTAAAATCAACCCTCTAAGCAACTTTAAAGATCCCTTATTAACATCTAATATCTTGTTATATACTAAACTGTAAAACAATGTGTGTGGTGGCTCCATATTTAACGGACAGACGTGTCTTTGGTATTAATCTTCTAGGTAAGTATATTTTGTGTGCAAAACTATTCTTTTAACTTCACTTGGATTTTTGGATGAAAAAAACTTGATTTACTTCTAAACATTTCCAGGAAAGGGTAACGCTTGTCTCACACGTATATGCATCGACCAAAACGCTGCTCATTCGCTTTGAATGGGGATGATCAGCGTTTCAGTTGAGCGAGTGTGTGTGCGCAGTGGGTGGGACCTCACTACCTCCACCAATCGCGGCTGCACAGATTCCAAATGCAAGATGGTGGCGTTCATGTCTTGGATATTTTGGCTTCGTATCTGGACAGTGAGACTCAGTGGAGACGTATCGTCCATTTTTGTACACAGCCTATGGTTAATTCAGAAATTATTATTCAGTATGAATCAATAGTGGAAATAATAATAGATATATTTATTTGTATAATGGTATGGATATATATGAAAGTCTGAAACAAATATAGTTTTTGAAAATATTGTGCTTACTAAAGTTTCAACTTTATTTTGAAAACTAAGGACACACCTCCTGCACGTTTACGCGGCCTCTGAGTTTCGTGCACCAGGCGCTACGGAAGCCGCGAGCTCCCGGTTCCTCGGTTGTTCAGTCTACGACTTTCCGGTTCCTCTTCGCCTGGTTCCTCTCCCGGGCCGAGCAGACAGAGAAGCCCAGGCCCAGAGCCCACTCAGGGGGGTGGGAGAAGCTGGACCAAAGTGACGGTAGATAGTTGTTTTCACTCCGGTTCAGGTCTATGAAACCTCGGCGTCAAATCTGGAGTTTTGAGAAGCAGCGGAAGTTCTCCAATGTACTTTAGACTTATTATTGATTTATTAACAAGTCACCAATTATAAATGATGAAACTTTAATATGAGTACAATTATTGATGTTTAAAGTTTAATAATTACTCCAGGTTCCACAGTATTGATCGTGGGTTAGCACCCATCAATACTGTGGAATTTATTCAACAACACGCAGTGGATTCATTCAACTGTCACACCCACTCATGTCCCGCTGAGACGGCAGCAACAAGGAAGATGTAGGACAAGGTGTGCTGGCTGCGATGGACTTATTGTCCCTAATTTGGCCTCACCCAGTCTCCTGAGATTAAATCTAAAACACAACAATTTCCCTCTGTGGTTTTGAAATAAGAGAGGATGCACTAGTTGGTCTGTTTTCGCAGATCTTCTGGTTTGTCTTTGTTTGTGCTGCACTGGAAGGACCCTTAAGAGACACATGGGAGGGAAGAAAGGGTCACTGCGACCATGTGTTGTCTCTGCTGTGTAGCTGCTGTTGTCCAAAATTAAGTTTAGCTCGGAAGTTGAGTGTCTTGCAGCCGCAAGCCAAACTTATCTGACTGGTGGGAGAAGGCACTTCCGCTGGGTCACCTGTGAAATGATCATGTACGGGCTTGTGTTTGCCGAAACTCTTTCCTTTTATAATAAATTGTATTCCTTGTACCACAGAAATATCTCACACAAAGGTAGGAAGTGAATTGTGAGGACTCAGATCGAGTCCGGGAGAGAAGTGAGTTATTTCTCTCTGTAAGGTGGGATCCCTCTATGCTGTGGCTGCTGCTGCGTTGAGTCCACATATATGAACCTTTAATCAAATCCAGACCGTCTGCAGGGAAACAGTGGGGTTGTCCTCACGCAGAGCTGCATGGAGAACGTTTATATTCCCAAAGAAAAATATGTCAGCCAAAAGAAAGAAGTTAGGAAGGAAGTTAAAGAAAAGGCGAACTAAAACATGTGCAACAACATGTTTACAACTCATGTCTGAGTGGTGCCAAATGATTAAAGAGAACACTGGAGGCGGACTGACCATCTATGTCAACATCAACAGAGTCACTGAGCAAACCATCGAGTGTCAGGAAGAACACAACTAGTGAGATGCTTGTCTATTTATGGATGTGTGAGGCTGGACATTTACAAAGTGAAGGACTTTTAGCGTTTTACAGACCTCGTGGATTCAGGTTCTCTGCGTAACAGAGGAAACTGGTGTACAGACGCCCGCACACGTCCGTCCAGCAACGTGAAGACAACGTAAACACGGCTCTAGCATTCGCAGAGCGTGCGGTGCCAAGCTCTCCGTGGCGCAGATGGTACGAAGCGAGGAGGGAGAGAGGGTGGAGGGTGGAGAAGCAATGAGAGAGGTCTGTGACACCTCTCTTTCTCTGCCCACACTAAAGCTGCCTATTATCTAATCCTTCACACCATGGATGGGGGGGATTGTCAGAGAGAGGCAGAGAAAGCAAGACACACAGTAGACGCCAGAAAAAGAGAGAGAGCAGCAATCGTCATCATCCAGTGGCATTCTGCTGGCGGTGACACAAGGCATCATTGTACTGACGGAGAGAGAGCTTTCTCCCTCTCTCTCTCTTTTTCTCTATTTCATCCAAGCCTGACTCGGCCCTACCCAGGCAGCCACGTTTGAGCCTGGAAATTACCGAACTATGACTCGTGTCCATGCCCGCTAAAGCGACTCTGACTCACCAAAATTACAGGAGCAGGGCAGAGAGCATCACCCAAACAGTCACAGTCACAGTCCAAATGACCACCTCGAGTACTGTGAGGCCACTGTGGTAGTTTCTGGTTTTATTTACCCGGTGTGAAGATATTTGTCCCTGAGAAGTCTTCTTCATTCCGCCACTCCAATGCAATGAGTGGTATTTCGATTGTGATGGCAACAGCAATAAAAACAAACATCTGCTACATGTCTTACTGTTATCCAGACAGACTGCAGGGAGGTTTAGTTCTGTGGATTATCTATAACGCACAGAACAGATGAGCTGTTGATTATTTAAATGTAATAATTTCAGAACCTCGACAAATCAAATCAATCGATCATTAAACTTTTGTATAGCCCGTATTCACAAATCCCAATTTGTCTCAAAGGGCTCAACAAGGTGCGACATCCTCTGTTCTTAACCCTCAACAAGAGGAAGGGATAACGACCCAAAAAACATATTAACAATAACAGGAAAATAAACTTAGAAACCTCAGAGAGAACCACGTGAGAAGATAGGTTAGACGCAAATAAAGTCATGGCTCTCCGGACTGGAGGAACACTGGGTTCAGTAGAACCCACAGTGTGTTTGCTCAGGGTGGGAACTGTTGCGTTTCTCTATAATTTCATAGTCTAATGATTTGGCGCAATAGAAAAATAATTTAACTGAATTGAAGAGAAACCTGTTTTTTTCCCCTCTATTAATGTGCAGTAGTAGCTCTGGAATTGCAGGAGGGCCCTCTTATATATTTTTAAGACTATCAAGCTTTCTGCGTGGTTACAAGTGAAAAGGGGTCAAATATGATCCATGAATTCAGCTTCTAAAAAAGCATGATGCACATTACCTAGGGCTCGGCGGGGTGTTCGTACGTCTCTGCCGTGCGCTCTGTGGTTAGGGTTAGGGTTAAAGAACATCTGTAACTGGGGAAGCTACAGAAAATATCCTGTTACACCATAATTATGATTTTCTAAGGCAGAGTCGTGGATTGATTGAAGCACATTGGTCCTGACACATAAACCTGACTCCTCCTCACATCTGCTGTCTGCCACAATTATTCAAACGTCTCCACCAGTTCACTGAACGCAGTGTTTTTGCCATTCTGGATTCATTACAGCCATAACAACCAGAGCACTATCTTCAAACATAGCTAATGGATCGTTATTAAAAAGGCAATTATTATTTCATCTACTAATGTTTATTTATGACTGTGGTAGACTGTACGGTACAGTGACAGTTTGCTACTATGCAATCCAAAACATAATGTTTAAATTACCCACCAATCCCAACAGGGTCGAGAGCCGAACACTGCCGTCTGCAGTAAATGAGCAGCGCTAAAAATGCTTCAAATACTTCCCACCCTCCCTGAGAACGAGAACCAATAAAGTTAAAAAATCCTTTTACATAACTTTATTTCTTGAACTTGAGTTGACTCTTTTCAACTCTGCCTCAGATTAATGATTGACATCCATCACACGCAGGATGGCACCACCTGGAACGGGTCGATGAGGTTTAAACACACACAGACACACACACAGACACACACACAGACACACACACAGACACACACACAGACACACACAAACACACACACACACTTGGAGCCTGAGGCCGGAATAACAGCAATAGCTCAACAGAGAAGAATTGAGGTCGCTGACATGTGCAAGATGAAGACTACCGCATGCCAGAGGTCAGGATGGTGTGTATCAGTTGCAAAGAAAACAGAAGAATAAGAAGAGGGGGAGAGGGGGAGAAGGAAAAAAAGGAAGGAGGGGAGGCAAAATATCTCCCATGCATTCCAGCTGTAACTTTCACAACAGGGTGTGAGGGTGGGGGGGGGCTACACACACACACCTGTGCAGTGACAAACAGCACTTGCTGCAGTATTTTCATTCTGGAAACCCACACAGGTGAAATGTTGCTGCCATGATCAGACACAAAGATAAACACCTGATCATGTTAGATACATATTCACTCTGTGCAGCAACACAACAGACACACACACACACACACACACACACACACACACACACACAGATCCATGTCAGAACAGTAGCATGGGAATAAGGAAAACATGATCTACAAGTGAGGAGGGTCTCACACACACACAGAGGCACATGTCACACCCCCCCAGCACTCACACTCACACATACACATACTATGGACGCAAATAGAACACACAAACATAAGAAGACTTCACCAACCTGCTCTGTCTGTGGACGCACAGGCCACATGTTGTCTTATCTATCAATCCACTCGGCTTCAGTGTGTGGACAGCAGCACTAACACACACACACGGACACACACCCTCACGCACACACACAGTCTGTGGAGCTGCAGACACACAACAACTCTGAGCTGCTTCTTCTCCAACTCTGGAAACTGTGGCTGAGAAAACCAACTCTCCGAGAGGGAGGTGTCTGCACAACTCTGGGCCAATCACATGCAGGAGGCTCCTCCCACAGGCGTCTCTCATTGGAGGACAAAAAAGAAGCGGATGTGGAAGAGGGAGGAGACACTGGCGCTGGCCCCTCCCATTATCTCATCGTTACTTTACTCTTATTGTCCAAAATATGTGTGTGTGTGTGTGTGTGTGTGTGTGTGTGTGTGTGTGTGTGTCCATCCTTATGTGCACACGTAACAAAACAATAACGTTAATAATATAAGTGGTAAATAATAAGATGAATAATCATGATGTGTATGTGTCAGTTTCATAAAACAAATGTGGAAAAGAAGAGCGATACATCACTGTTGATTTAGAGAGACAAGACAAGATGAGGCAAGATGAGGCAAGATGGGATACAATGAGATAAGACAAGATAAGATAAGATACGATAATTAAGATAAGACAAGACAAGATAAGATAAGATAAATTAAGATAAAACAAGATAAGATAAGATAAATTAAGATAAGACAAGAGGAGATAAGATAAGATAAATTAAGATGAGACAAGAGGAGATAAGATAAGATATGATAAGATACAATAAGACACGATAGGAAGATAAGACATAAGATAGTTTTTTATCCCTAACTGGAGAAATTTACTGGGTCAGTTATGAGTTAGACAAGAGAACACATGAGAACAGACATAATTGATAAGTGGGTGTAAGGGAAATGTTATATGTTGATCATGATTGAATCTTTACAATGTTACCTTGATCACGCTGAATCCTGTGCAACTGATTGACCTGATTACCTAAACTAAGGCATTGTTGCCCTGATGTCATCAGAAGATCCTGACCTTTAACTCAGAAACAACCTCAACCAGAGGGGGAGGAACACAGATTTAATTTAAATACAATTAAAACACAGAAAATAAACTTTCAGACAGAAATATAATTTGTAGAGAAACTGGGTAAAGTGCAGTGGCACATGATGATTGCACAAGGATGTAAACTGTATTTGTGCATGCAGTATAAGATATTGATATAGAGGTTGGGTTATTCATATCGATGAATACATAACTGTTCTTTGTTGATGCTTGAAAAGCTCTAACATAATGAATTTTCCTCTTAAATCTCACCTGTTTAATAAATCACCTGTTATTCCCAAATATACTTCCATTTTTTCCTAGTCCAGAATTACTAGAGAACTCTTCTTCTATCTTGTGGCTGAATGGATGTACTGCACCTTCTCATGGCTGGAACACAATCATACACTTGGCTGTCAAATATGTGTGTGTGTGTGTGTGTGTGTGTGTGTGTGTGTGTGTGTGT